AAACTATCGAGAAATAATTTAGAAAAAAAAGAATATTTTGAAAATTCACCTTTCTTACGTTCAACCACGTTGTTTATATATCGTCATGTCTGCATAATAAAAGGGTGAACGACTAGTTAGCAGACAGAACGCGAAAAATTTGTATGCGACACATTTTGTGCACGACACAATAATTCACGACACATAAACACGACGCATTTTAATTTAGTGTGCAATGCAGACAAATAAAAAAATAATAAGATTCTCATATCACCAATGTAGAATAATAAGATGTAAAAATCAGCATTTTCTATATTACTACTAAAGACAAATAAGACACAAAACTAACTGTTTCTATGTCATCAATATAGAAGAATTAAGAAATAACAATTAAGATTTTCTATATTACCAATATAGAAAAATAAAAAATAGAATTTTCTATATATTCAATATAGAAATATAAGAAATAAAACTTAAGATTTGTCATATCAGTAATATAGAAAAATAAGAGGTAAGAAGTTAGCATTTTCTATATTATTGTTATCGACAAATAAGACAAACAATATCTGTTTCTATATCTGTTCATACCAAGAGAAAACAGATGTCGCCTGTTTAAAAAAATGTAATTTTTATCAGTATCAGACACATTTATTCCTTTACAAATTTTTTTTTCCGACACTCAATTGAAAGAAATAAAACAAATATACCTCTTATTTAAAACTATGTTCGACGTTTTTTCTTCGATCAAGTATGTATTTGAACACAGAGATATTACTCTTCAGTAATAATATCTGTCACGGTAGCAGACATAGCCTGTGTGTTTTGTATGCATGTATGTATATCTGCATTCTTTTTCCATTAAGTACTCAATTCTTAACATAAGATAGGTATCTCGTATTTGATATATATGAGCTTTGTCTTACATAAAGTAGCCAGTTTATGGCAGTAAAAAGATGAATACTTCTTACTTTATACAGTCTGTTTTCATTTCATCTAATATTTAGCTATACGGATAGAGAGACATTCAGATAGTTTAATGTCTTCCATACATCTCAGAATGAGTATTCCGGCAGTCGTAAACGATCGCATACGATGTCATACACATTCGCGTACGACAAAAAATGACGTGTGTACGATCAGTGGGATCTCTAAATAATACAAAGGCTAAGATTTGAGTAAATGAAAAATAGCACAATTTTAACAGTTGTAAAAAATATTGAAATTTTAGTAACCTGAAGAACTCAGATTCTCTATAAAACACATAGGACTTCTGGTATGTTGAAGCTTTCAAGTTTGAATCAATATTCTTTTCGGTTCTAATAAACATCAACGTGTAGAGAATTTTTTCTCTATCGAATGATTTTTTTAACTCAAATTATTTTGAGTTTGCTAGTATGAGTGTCAATTCTATTATCTTCAGCAAAAGGTATTCCCACATCTACATGCACGCCAACATCCAAGTGCAATAAATCGCATGCAATAATTATTCTGTGTTGTATAGCTATTTTCAGTTTCAGTTTCTTTCAATAGTACAACGTTATAAAGTACGTCATGAGTGATACACAGCAACTTGTATCAAGTGTAGGCCGTTGCTCTACTCCTGATAGTAATAAGAATAGAAGACAACAATTCATTAACAAGTAAGATAGAATTGAACTTTAGAAAGGTATCAGCGATAATGGCGTATTTATATAGATTGTTCAATTGGCTTCAATGTTTCTCTTTCAAACAGCTCGGTCAACAGTATGAAACCTTGGATCATGATAGTACTCATAATAAAACTGAAGCAATTATTGGATACTTTGAATTAGTAAGTGTATCGAGAAAGAAAAGATATCGAACGATGGAATATCTGTTTAACTTTACGGTAGTTTCGTTTTGCTGATCGGCTTGATCTTCTGATAGTAGCTTTCGGCTTATGCATCGTCTTACTAAATACTATTGTCATCGTAGTATTTAATGTTGTTTTTGGTCAACTTACGAATGCATTTGCAATGCAATCGTTTATTGATCAATGCTCTCTACAGCAAAACACATCGATTACAACTAACAACAGCAGAAGAAGTCTATGGAGTTCTGAGAAAAATACTTTCAACGATGTTCGATTGCAACAGTAAGCCATCATCACATAAAGCATTGGTATGCTCTAGTCTCTATATTTATTCACTGATCATCAATTTCAGAGTCTACCTGAATGAAAGTATCACCCTGACGCCACTATGGTCATCGGCTACGACCAAACTTCATGCTGATGTGAGAAACAAAATGCACTGGCTATTCAGTAAGCAAAAATAACTTAATTCTTTAGGCATCAAACAAATAATGATTTGCATCTTGAATGTACGTAGTCATCGGTATAATCGATGTAGTGTGCGGTTTCCTCCGTTATTTTCTCTTCACCATAACGGCCAAACGGCAGACTTCTCGAATACGTATTCGTGTTTTACAATCATTACTACAACGAGTATGTCAAACACATTCATCTTTACGAAAATATAACGGGTAGAGCACAATAAATGGTCTCTACTCTATCTTCTCGATATCTCCTTTGGTTATCATCGTTCAGATTTGTATTTTTTCTAACAAAAGACCTGTAATTCTCTAAAAAATGACTTACTGTGAAAAACGACTGAGAATGAGTGTTGAAGTAAATTGTGAGAACAGTGACCTCTTCCTCATCTTATCTTATCAATCGTGACAAACATTGCTGTCAAAGTCGATGACGGGTTCAAGAAGTTTTCAATGTGTTATTCATTATGCCCAAAATACTTCGATATGTACAGATAGATTTCTTGGTTACGGGTACGATGACTTTATTGCGTTCTATATTTTAATTCCGTAGGAATCTCCTGCATCCTTCAAGAGTCACAGAGCTATATGGAACTATTAAGTACAATTTCCACCAAGTTTGTTCTTCTAAGCTTTCGTCTGTCGCATTTTAACTCTTACTCTGTCGTAATCTGTTTCATAATGTTTTCAGAGTTCATAATTTCAATGGATTTCGTAAAACTAGCGGCATATACGACGATTTGGTTTTCAGAAAAGAATTGTTATCTGTGAGTACATCACAATACAAATCTCAATATTGTAGAAGTTAAAATAATACAAAAGAAAAGTTGAAAAACAGAAGAGCTTCAAAAATTATACTTAATAGTTCTGTGCAGTTCTGTGGTCTTTGAAAAATGGAGATTATCTTCATCGAATAAAATGTATCATTTTGTGGAGAATTGCATAGCACATATTTTGGGAAAAGAGAACAAGTCTGTGCAATTATAATCAATGATAATATAGAAAAATACTGAAGAGACTATGTATTCAGACACACCTGTTACAACTTTATGACAGTTTATTGTTGTACATATGAACCGTTTCTTACTTTCTCTCTTATTCCTAGAATATTTCTTATTATGATATGAATTCGCCTGGTCAGTTCAGTGTCAAACTATTCAAGTGAGTCATTTTCTGTCGATATTCAAAATAAAAATGATATCTGATTCCCTTATCTCATAGCAATATTGATTATTTGAATAAAGGCATCGGTTTTGAATTATCAGTCGTGATCGCAGCGTTATTTTCCACTATTTGCAGTGCTTGTATTGCCTTAATCATCAACTGGAAGTTGACACTTGCCATATCGTGCGTTGTACCTTTAACTATATTCGGCTCATATGTTTTTTCAAAGGTAGATGCAATTGTTAATGATTAATTTAGCTTATATTAATTCTAACAGCTCACTGCCAAAGAAACAAAAAACGAATTGGATGCGTACTCAAAAGCAGGAGAAGTCGTTGAGGAAGTGTTCAGTTCTCTTCGTACTGTGCTTTCGCTCAACGGTGCAAGATTTGAAGAGAAACGGTAGGAAATATATATATACCCCTGGAAAGCAAAAGTTAGCCACTATGTTTGATCTCTTTTTATATTTGAAAAGAATATTTCGAAAAAAGTAATTATACCATTTGATAACGCTTGAAATTCTCTACCAGCCTGTCTATTTGTATTTGAGTCTACGCTTGAGCACTATGAAAATAAATTGAATATAATGAAGGTACCTCCATGTGCTCATTCCCAAAGACGGACTTTCTAGTTTTTGATATTTTTCATTACTATAGAGACACGTTTTGTTTTTAAAGTAATTATATATTCTGATAGAACTTGAAATCCTCTATCGTCCCATATATTTATGTTTTGCTTCGCATTTATCTGTTGAAAAATAATCCGAATATAATGAAGGCATCTTCAATTGACAAATACTAAAAAAGTCCGCTTTTTTTGCTATTTTTTAGTATTTTTACCATATTATTTTTCATATAGAATAAATTTTCACAAAAGTAAGTATAAATTCTGATAGCTCTTGAAATTCTCTATCAGTCTGTATAAAAATATATTGCCTTGAATATAAGTAGGAAAAAAAATCAGTGTGTCTTCGAAATCGTCAATTGAAAGTTCTTCACTTTATTCAAATTATTTTTTAAAAGATGAAGGTAAAGCAACACATACATATATAGGATGATAGAGAATTTCAAGCTCTATCAGAATGTATAACTACTTTTTAAAAGGATAATTTTACAGTGATAAAAAATTTAAAAAAAACTATTTGCTATGCCAATGACAAAATCCAGTCTGTGGGAATGCGGACATCAAGGTATCTTCATTATACTCAGTTTATCTTCATAATGTTCAAGCGTAAACTAAAATACAAATAGACAGGCTGGTAGAGAATTTCAAGCGCTATCGAATGGTATAATTACTTTTTTCGAAATGTTCTTTTCGAGTGTAAAACGAAGTCAAGTATAGTGGCTAACTTTTGCTTTCCAGGGGTATATATACCTATAAATAAACTTTGTAAGCCATAAGCCATGATCATGTTCGAATTTTATTGTGTATATAGATACGAAAGCAAATTACAAGCAGCCCAATGGAGCAGTGTACGCAAGGGTGCTGCGTTTGGGCTCTTCACTGGATGGGTTTCTCTTATAGGATGCATGTCTTATTCAATTTGTTTCGCCTCCAGCTTGTCTTTTATGTATCATACAGAACGTGATATACTCTATTTCAGTGATGTTCTTGTGGTAAATTATTTAGTTCATAAATCAGATTTCCGAAACAAATAGGTTCCCGATATTTGAGTAGATAATCACTATGTTGGCAGGAATTAACGGTTATCTTGTCTTTGTCAGTCCTTTCTTTCAATCACTCGAAGAAACTCGAGGAGCTTTAACGCCCATATTCCGTTTGATCGATGAGGTAAAGATTTGTTTAATGTACGATCAAAATCTCTTCGCCATTACATGATATAGGAAGAGAAGACAAGTATGAATGAGACACAAATATTGGAAGATTCGATTGCTCCTGAAGACTCTATAAATATGAATGGTGATATTCTCTTTGACGATGTCGACTTTGCTTATCCAACTCGACCTGATATCTTAGTCCTACGGAATTTCACATTGATGGCGCGTGCAGGTGAGATAACAGCCTTGGTCGGTTCAAGTGGTTGTGGTGGGTATTTCGAAAAAAAACAAATCAGAGTTTGATAATCTTTTCTTTGTTGAGTAAATAGGCAAGAGCACATGTATTTCACTTCTACTTCGATTTTATGAACCTTCATCGGGTTGCATTAAAATCCATGATCGATCGATCATCAACTGCAATATCAAACAACTACGACAGAAAATTGGTGTGGTTAGTCAAGAACCTGTATGTCTTTGTCGTATTCTAATTTTTGAAATTGATTTTGTTCTTTATAGATTCTCTTTGCCACAAGTATCTATGAAAATATTCGCTTTGGTAAGGAAAGTGCAACAAGAATCGAGATTGAAGAAGCAGCACGTCAGGCCAATGCACATGATTTTATTATGCAATTACCTGAAGTGGGCATTGAATGTTCACTTCTAATGGCATGAACTTTGTTTTCTGTTTTCCTAGAAGTATGATACAATCGTCGGTGAACGTGGTGTTCAATTGAGTGGTGGTGAAAAGCAACGTGTGGCTTTAGCTCGTGCTCTTGTCAAGCAGCCAGCCTTGCTATTGTTGGACGAAGCAACAAGTGCTCTTGATAATACTAATGAGAAGATCGTCCAAGAAGCACTCGATCGAGCTTGTACAGGTTCGGACATACTTTCAATTTTAATTATACCGTTTATAGTTAAGTATAGGTAGGAAGACTATTGTGATCGCTCATCGTTTGGCAACAATTCGAAATGCGCATCGAATTTATGTGTTGCATAATGGACATGTTATCGAACATGGTACACACGACACATTGATGTCAAAAGAAGGAAGTCAATATCGCAAGATGATGAAATCTCAACAGAGAGAAAAAATAGAAAATGATATCGATGAAAGAACGAGCATCGCACAAATAGAAGAAGATGATAAAAAAAAAATATGTACGTAAGCACTTTTGACAAAAGAATATTTCGGAAGCGATAATATTTTTCAATTAGCGGAGCGCATTCGACATCATAACTATAGTGAACTCGATGATGGAGATAAAGTAAAACACACGAATGTACTTATATCGAGATGAGTTTTAGATTTACAACGTACTTTAATAGGAGTCATTGACTAGAAATCGTGCACCTGTTTTCTTGCGATTTTTGCATTTGAACAGTCCAGAGTGGTTCATCATTCTAATTGGCTGTGTGGCTTGCCTCATTTGTGGAGCAAGTCAATCAATCCAAAGCATTCTATTCACTTATACAATTTCTGTAAGTCACTTTCTGGTATAGTACGATCAATATTATTGTAATGAGTTGCTCACAGGCATTCGGATTGTGCACCTACGAAGAACGACGTCATCAAGTTTTAAAATTTTCCCTTCTCTTCTTGTTGATGGGTGTTGCATTTTTGGTCATTCGTTTTATACAGGTAAGAATATATCTCATAAAGGGTTTCATATTTTTTACATTAATAGTACACTGCGTTTGCTGTATCTGGTTCGAAATTGACTGATCGTATTCGTTCTAAAGCTTTTGCACACCTTCTGCGTCAAGAAGTTGGTTTCTTTGATCGTCTTGAAAACAGTTCTGGAGCTATTTGTAATCGTCTCTCATCTGATGCGTTAAATGTTCAGCAGATGGCTGGTTTTCGTCTAGGCATCATTTGTGAGTCAATCGCGACTTTTGGAATTGGTGTTGTTCTCGGAGTTTTGGTCAGTTGGCAATTGACTTTAACTATAGTCTTCTATGTTGTTTCTTTAATTGTGTTCGCTGCCATGCAAATACGTTGGCAAGCACGATGGAATAAACACTCTGATGGTATTCTTGAATTAGCAAGTTCGGTGAGAGCAACGTTTCGATTACAATATTATGTACATTGAAATATTGATAAGGAATTTTCTTTTATTAATAGCTCGCTGTCGAAGTCATTCATAATATGCGTACAGTAAAACAGTTGGCAAGTGAGGCAGAATTCATACGTCAATTCTCATATTTAGTTCTGAAAGAGTTCAAGTCAGTGTTTCAAATGCTCTTTTTTTTTAATCTCAATATAGTGTTTTCCAATAGAACTCGTCGAAATGATATAATAGTATCCTCGTTTCTACATAGTATCTATTGGGGAGCGACAGCATTTGTCTTGTTGTTTCTCTGTTGGCAGGCTCTCATGCTTATTGAACACAAAGAACTGAAGATGAACAATATTATTATGTACACAGATAGAAAGCTTTAAGATATATTTTATCTAAATTTTTTTCTAGCGTGTTGGCATATTATACTTTCTTCGTAGGATCTCGGCGATTTATCACACTCTTGTAAGTCATTGCACGGATCAATTTCTCCTTTTTAAGTACTTCTGTTCAGAACGCGACAGATGAGTGATTCATTGTCAGCAGCTCGAAGTTTCTTCGAATTGTTCGACCGAACATCAGTCATTGACAATTTTTCCATGGATGGTGAACAATTGGTGAGTGATCCATTTCGTAAAAGTCTGAATTCTGAACACATAACTCCTATTTCATTGTTAAAATGTATTGATAATAGAGTGATGTCAAAGGTGAGATCGAATTTGACCAGGTCGAATTTGCATATGCATCTCGACCAACATCCCGCATTTTGAATAAATTTCAATTGATCATCAAACCTGGTGAGTCTTTCCTGTGTGTGTATTCAGTTTTGTTTGTGATGAAATCTATCTATTTGTCAATTAGGTCAGTGTGTGGCTCTTATAGGTATGTCGAAGTCAACTGTTGTTCATTGAAAGTGCTTATATAATCTATTTATAAAGGTGCATCTGGTTGTGGCAAATCGACAGTTATTCAGCTCTTAGAACGGTTCTACGATCCCATACAAGGTCGAATTGTAAGTGTCTCTCTTGTGTTCTATCAACATATTCATGGAAACACTTGGCTAATGAAATTTAGTGTTTCGACGGTGTTGACATTCAAAAATTGAATATTCAATGGCTTCGTTCTTGTCTTGGTCTTGTTACTCAAGAGCCTATTTTGTTCAATTTGACTATTGCTGAGAACATAGCATACGGTAGAGACAATATTTCGATGGAAGATATTATCGAAGCGGCCACAAAAGCTAACATTCATCATTTCATTCAGCAGTTGCCTGAAGTGAGAAAAGAATAGCACATTATATTTCATTGTGTCTTTGTGTCATTACAACAGGGTTATGAGACCAAAGTGGGCATGAAAGGTAGCCATTTGTCAGGTGGTGAGAAACAACGTATTGCTATTGCTCGAGTTCTTCTTCGTCGACCAAAGGTATTGCTGTTAGACGAAGCAACAAGTGCCATAGACTCGTACAATGAACATGTTCGTTTTCTCACGACACTGATCAATCAAATAATCATTATCGATATGTTTAGATCGTGCAAGAAGCTCTTGAAAGAGTTCAAACGGACGATCCAACTCGAACTTCACTGATCATTGCTCATCGTCTGTCGACGATTCGTTCGTGTGATTTGATCTGCGTTCTTGACAAAGGATATTTGGTAGAAAGTGGTACACATGTAGATTTAATGAAACGACGTGGAACCTACTATCATATGATTGTTCGCAGCAATACTTCATAAATTGTCTTCGACGTTATTTTGACGAAACTGATTAACGATTGAGATGAACTGTTCTACTTTTCTTTTCTGCGCTAATTTTTCGAACAAAGTTTTTTTGTTAAGTTTCTTCTCTCAACAATTCAGCAGACATATTGACAAATCGAAGCAGTTTTTCTGATTGAAATCGCCATTGAGATATTTGCTAAGACGGAGAACAACCCAGTCAAGTGAATAATGAAAAAATGGTTATTAAAATGCCTTATTGCCTATACCTAGACTATTTTGACCAATAAAATCAACTTTTTTTTAAAATGAATAATGGTAAAATGGCTATTACCATGAATACTGATTCATTAATGAATTAGTTTGACCATGTCATAATCACAGAACCCACTTCTCTTTTATAGATTTCGAATCGATTATTCTTTCGAATTATGCAAACGTATATATATAATTTTTTTTCTTTCGTTATGCAAGCAATTTGAAGAGAAGTTGAGGAAAATACGTGATCATTTAAATTTATTTAAATAATATATAAAGAAATTTAACAAGGAGCAACGCGTTTCGAAAATTTCTTCTTCAGGGCGTGGGTGTGAGTGTATGGGTGGGTGTGGGTGTGGGTGTGAGTATGAGTTTGTAGATGTAGGTGTCAGTCGTATTTCTACAGACACCCACACCCCACACCCACACCCACACCCATACCGACACCCACACCGACACCGACACCCTTCAAAGATCATTCGATAACTTCATTCATGTAAACTACATTTGTGCCAATTGTTGGAACAAATTTTCATTCGATCATGCACCATTGTATTTCGGACGCATTCTACAAATGGTTCAATCAGTGGGCAATGTGGTTTAGTATTTTGAAGATATGATCTAAAATATTGATAGATTTTGCCTACGATTTCTTTGTTCTCTACGAAATATTAAAAAAGCTATTAGCACAATCTCCTACGGGATTAAAAATGTGAAACACGATGTTGTTAATATTCTCAACAATTTTGGCCTTTTATGCATATTTGGGTACATTTCTTTCTAATAATTTACTGTACATTATACATCTTGAATAGGATAATATTCCATCCTTTCAGATTATGTTTTACAAAAATTTCTTGATTGATAAAACTATCAAATTTAGAAATGTATCATTAATGATAAATGATAGACATTTTGTTGTTTTTCAAATTCATTTTCATCATGTTTTCCTGTAGCAGTTTTTCAACCAGAACATATTATAAATAATAAAAATGTATCAAATGTTTCACAATTATATCACCCGAAGTTCACGGTGAACAAAAAAAAAAGAAATTCAATAACTTTTCAACTTAACTAGATCTTATGACAAATATTTCAAGAGCAATCCGCGTAATTAAAAAAAACTAATAGCTGATATTGAAGAACATGTTAAATCAAGAGTAAAGTATGAAGATACCCGATATTTTGTTGAAATTATTCTTTCATATCTTTCTCCTTATCAATCATACTGATGATCAAGACGATCAGAAAAAGTCAGTAGCGTAAATAGGGGGGGGGGGCGCGTGGGGCGTTACGCCCCCCTGCTTCGGAAAATTACTAGAAAAAAAGGGGTTTACGCCCCCCCTGCTTTTGAAGATTCCGTTGTTTTTGCTCATCAAAATAGAAAAAAAGGGGTATACGCCCCCCTGCTTTCGGAAATTCCAGTTTTTCGCTCATGAAAATTTTCGTTAGTTTTGAAGGAATAAATTTTGGGATTAGGCTGAAGGGGAGTAGGGGCTTTTTTTTTTTTTTTTAGTGTTCGCTTTGGATTTTTGGGAACCTCTCCACTCTTGGAAACAATCGACAACCTTGATTATGGTCCCCTGTTTCTGCAAAGTTTATTTTTTTGGTGGTGGAAATAAAAAATTAGTATTACGCCCCCCCTGCTCTGACATCTGACTTACGCCCCTGGAAAAAGTTCAACAAATAACTGAGTATGAACGTTTGATTTTCTTTTAGTTTTCATTAGACGGCAGATAATTAATGTTGTAGAAAGTCATATGAATTCTGTATTGAAGAATGTTTTGCAAAGTAATTAATAACAATATTGATACTGTTGCAGCACTCTACATAAAGAAAGACTCGTCAATCTTAAGCTAAAAACATATTCAGTTTCAAGCCAGCTATGAAATTTTTCTTTCAATTGCAGTTATAGACAATTCGGCAAGTAAAGAGTAAGAATTCTCAGATTATACATTAATTGTATATTCAATCTCATCTAGCTAATTTTTTTTAAATAGATAAATACTACAGATCAGTTATTGCATAATGAAAGATAACAAAACGATTTGTCTTAGCAGTAAATACGGTTTTAGTAGCTATAGTTCCAAATTGATATTGTTGATTTTGGATATAATTATGAGATGTTTGAGTGTGGGTATGAATCAAGACAAGACTTACATCCGCACTCACTAAAAAAAATGTATTCAAAAAACCATATAAAACTAAATCTAATATTAAATGTTCACGATTCAAAAAAAACTGAATCAACGAACAGTAAGACTTGCTAAGTAGTTAAACATTTATTGTTATCAATAAGTTTGACTAATTTGAAGACAAATTTTACAATAAATACCTAGAAAGAAATGAAATTTTAATTACTAGTATATAAAAAAAATCATTTGAATACTTACTGTTATGATCAAAGCAGTAAGACAAATTATTATAAAAAGAAGAAGCATTGCAATCACGAAAGCACCAGCAAGACCAATCGGTCCACCTTTCCTTTTATTCACATGAATAATCTGTGGAATAAGCAACAATAAAAGACCGATCATCGTGATGCCAAGAATAATCAGATAAATTATATTCAACCAAGCAAACTAGATCAAATCGGAAATAATGTTAAAAGAAAACACTGTAAATAAGAATGTCAAATTTCGACATTTATATTCAAACCCTTGAATCAAACTGAATTTTTAGAAGTCGGTTGTTCTTACGTATTCTAGCTAAATTCTATATATTGATCAATTATCCTGAATTAGCACTCATGCATCTTCTGATTTTCAAAGTACGATTTATGTTAATGTGTTTAGAATATTCTATAATTTGTGAAACTATGAAAAAATGTACAGTAGATTTGCATATCAAGCATTACAAGTTGAAGTCTTCACAAAATAATGGCGGATGCAAAAGCCTTCGTACAAATGTCGGACTTGATTGTAAGCTTAGACAACGTGCTAGAAATCTGATTCTTTTTTCATTAGTCTGTAGATCAAAAATGGGTATCTAAAAAAGAAAACTTTGAACTCAAATTTTTTGATTTTTCAAAGGACGCCAAAACACCTTGTAACCGTC